GTCTCTGCTCTCCATCCTGAGCTGGGTGAACAGCTCGGGCTGCTGAATCCATACTTGCGCTTGTATTGTTTTAGGTCTGGTCTAACCCAAAGGTCGTATTTATAATTAGTACACACTGATGAAATGGCTCTGGCCTGTCAAACAGAAACACCCCACTGCAAACAGGAGTTTAGACTTGTTCGCATCGCCGTGGTTATTTTGAGCAATTAGTCCATGGAGGAGTCTGGGAACTCTCGTTAAAACGTCAAAACCGGTTTTATCTTTGGGAGAAGGAGAGAAATGCTGCCTGAGACAGGGGGTGATGCTGGAACAAGCGAACCCCTCTGCTTCTCTTCAAACCCTTCCCAAATGGGGGGAGATTTGGATGCAGACCGGGTACCCCGGTGTGTTCAGCGTGCAAGAGCGGAGGCACGGGGTGGCAGGGAGCGGCGGGGGGCACTTCCCAGGGTCACGGTGCTGTTGAATGCTGCTGGGACCCCGACCCCGCCAACCACCAGCCAAACCCTGGCTCCACCCTGACCTCTGCTTCTCCGAGCTACCTCAATCGGTCCCTTCAGAGCCGCCTTTAAAGAGCTTGCATCGCCTGCGTATCCTGCCCAAACAGGCCCTAATTTCAGGGGTGAGTCCTGGGCAGGAGGAACAATAAACCTTCAGGTTGGGAGATCTAAATCAAACGTTTATTTTCTTACCCCCTCTAAATTAAATTTTTTGGTCTTCCCACCTTCGCTTTGAGCTCTTGGGTCTGGCTTAGGAAATGTGTACGTTTATTTTAATTCTGCTTTTAAAATGTAACTGCTGGGAACTCCAGCAGGAGGGTCAGATGGTGCCTTTCCTTGCCGTGTTTGCTCTCTGGCATCCAGCTGACGGCTCCAGCCAGCGCCGAGCGAGCCCGGGAGGCTGCAAGCCCCCACTGGCCCCAGCTGGGCTGTTTGTTCTCTGCTGGGCACCGAGCCGGGGAGAAAAGCAGCATTTTCCTCCCTATTTTAAATTTCTCCGTTCTGCCTGACTTTTCTTCTTCGTCGGGAAGAAGCAGAGCCACGAGAAGGGGTAAGAGCTTGTTCCCGGGCACCCGGGCTGGCTCCGCTCCCCTCCGGCGCTGGTTAATGTTTTTTGCAGCAGGGGCCGAAGGGACGGCTGTGCACGGAAGAGGAGGAGGAGGAGGAGGAGAGCATCGGAGGAAGGCAGGG